GAAAGAAAGAAAGAAAGAAAGAAAGAAAGAAAGAAAGAAAGAAAGAACAAAAGAAAAAACATGGTGGAAATGACTATAATTTTAGCACCCAGGAGATGTAGGTAAGAGGTTCAAAAGTTTATAATTATCCTTAACTACAAAATGAGTCTGAGGCCATCCTGAGCTACATGATACAGTTAAAAAACAATAAAAAAAAAAGCTTGATAGATACAAGATGTCTCCATGTGTAAAGATGCTTCTGTGCAAGCCTGACAGCACAGATCCTACCCCAGGTCTCACAGGGTAGGCAGAGAGAATAAAAGTAGGCTCTTCAGGGTTACTCCGTGACCTCACATGAAAGCACACACGCACTACCACCACAACCACAACATGTCTACACAAAATAGCGAAAACACTAAAACAGGAAATGTAAATTATGAACTGAATATGGAGAGTTTAAGCTCAATGCATCTTGATATTGAGATGTGGACAAGCAAATGGCCACCGAATCAGAAGGTAAGGGAAACATAGCCATTACGCTGCCTGGGAACAATAGGCTATGTTGCGGGCCTCTCTTGAAAGCTACAGGACCAAGGTGGGCACACAAAGAAAAGTTGAAATTGAGGGCTTAATAAGGAATAACTAGATCCTCAGACTCATCTTCCTAAGTAGAAATATTTGTAGGTGCAGGAGTACCCAAACAGGAACAATTGAGGACACAGAGTCCAAAAAAATAGAAGATCATCACATTTTTAAAAACTGTGCAAAAAGTGATATCCTCACTCTTTTCTGGCTGGAACCCAAGTTTCTACCGCTATAGAGAGTTAGTATACTAATTCTGACTCTGAAGTCCACAAACTTTGAGATAATCTCTTTAAAGTTCTTAAGGATTTTTTTTTCTCTACACAATTAAGTGTGGAAGAGTAAGCAGGAAAACAGAGGGTAGGATGCTCTCCAGTGAATAATTAAGAGCAAGAAAGAGTTAAAGCAAGGTAGTTTTTGTGGCCTATCCTTGTAGTACCAACACTTGGAAGCCTGAATGAAGCATGTGATCATTGAGAGTTTAAGGGAAGTGTGAGCTGCATAGTAAATTTAAGGCAAGGCTGGGATATGAAGCAAGACCCTATTTCAAAAAAGAAAACTAAAATAGGACTGGAGGGATGGCTCAGCAGTTAAAGGCACTTGTTGCTCTTGAAGAGGTCCTGGGTTCATTTTCCAACAACCACATTGTAGCTGACAACCATCTGTAACTCCATCCAGGGGATCCAACTCACTTTCCTGATCTCTCTGTGCACAAGACACACAAATGGTGCACATAAATCCATGCAGATTAAACACCCATACACGTATAATAGTTGAAGATCTTAAAAGGAAAAAAGAAGAAAGATATAATGCAAAAGAGGAGAGGGGAGGCAAGAGGAAGAGGAAGATGAAGGAAGGAAGTAAAACAAATTAATAAGGAAAAGAATGATGGAGAATGACAAGGAAATCGCACTGAGGTGGCCTAGAAGTTGACATTTCAGAAGCAGGAGGAATACAGCAGACAACAGCAAGGACAACAGTGAAGCCTCTGAGCAGTTTTAAGGCATCCTGCCACCAGTGAGGGACTTATGAGAGAGAGAGACACAAAGAATGTCGATCAAATAGAAAAAAAATGAGCTTAGTATTAAATCTAAACAAAGAATAGCATGTTTCTATAGCAGAAACATCTTGATTGTTGTGATAATGTAATTAGTAAAGTTTTATATCATCTGATCTTAAAGTATTAAAAACTAACAAGACACTCAGGCAAACAAAAGGAAGAACTGAAAACTCTCCCCAGAAAGCAGAAAGAGAGTAAGAGATAACATACTTTCACTACTGCAATTTTCTGTGTACGTTACTTTGGTAAACAGGAAAATAAAAACCAGCCTTGACTTTGTTCTTTCTCTTGGTGACAGTTTGATTTTGTCAAACTGTAGACCCCTTGTAACCAAAGTATCAATAGCCCTGCTGAGGGACTCAGCACAAAGGTTGGCAGATCCAAAGACTCCATTCATGTATCTCAGCTTCATGAAAGAAGTGTCTCAAGTCCCCAGTTGGGACCTTAAGTAGACCCAAGGACACAAGATTCACTAATCATACTGTCAGACCAGAGACCACATCTTCTCATTTCCATATTGGCCTTTTGGACTTTAGGGAAATATTGTTCCTGCCACAGAGGAAATCTGAGCCTCATTTCCTGTATATGAAAGTAGAACTTAAAACATCAAAGACTGTAATACTCACCGGCCCATGAGGAAATGAGGTAGTGATATTATGAAACACCCTAGGCCCATAACTGCACATCCAACACCAATCATGATAGGTCTGTGCAGTTTTGTTCCGAAATAACTCACGAATATAATCAACAAAAGGTTTCCTGGGAGGGAGGAAGGAGAATGCTTGTTTCAGTAAAGTATTAGCAGCTCTTAGTCAACAATCTCTCCAGCATTTGGACTCGAGGGTTCATGGTCTAACAACCACCTTAACACAGGGGTTAGTGCTTAGGATATCTTGTGCGTTGTTTTCATATGTAGAACAACTGTGACACTGTGGGAAGGTTCTCTTCCACTCTGGAGAACACTAAAGCTCTCTTCAGGCTTGTCCTGCCCTGGGATTGGATACAAAGGCAGGTGTCAGCCTGCACGTCACTTCTGACCTCTCCTTTCATGCCTGCTGTATGCAAATTCAAATGGATTCATGTTTTTAACTTACTATTTAAGAACAGCCTTATTGCTCAACATGGCCAAGCTGTATGTCTGCTTCTACTGTCTCTTCTTTCCTTATACCAGGTAATACTGTTAGCAGCGAGATGGTACAAGACCTAACCCTCCAACTGAACCTTAGGTGTACATTGCAGGAGTCAAAAAGTCAAACCAAAAAAATGATCTTTGTGGTTTAGGAGGAAGATTGGTTTAATAAACTCATTGGGAAACCCTATGCTGACAGAGAAGCCTTTGATAAACATGTTTGAGAGTTAAAAGAATAAGTGAAGCCTGGTGGCATAGGCCTGACATCTACAGCTACTGGAAGGCCAACAGGAAGATTGCAAGATCAAAATTGGCCTGGGCTACAAGGTAAATTCAAAATCAGCCTGGGCAACTTAGCACGTTCTTTGCTGTTTTCATTTAAATATATTAGAAACAATTTCACCGTGAGGAAATTAAACTATGACTAAACTAGAGAAGAAAGGCACCAAGGATGCCAGGTCACTTTGTTTATAGAAGGACTCTTTCTCTTTTATACTTTGTACTCTCATATCCCAGTTCACCACGCAAAATCAGGAATTAAATTTCCTTAATTCTTCTTTTGAATTGTGTTTGATATAACACAAACACAGAAAGCAATCTTTATTTTCTCTAGTGACAAGGGTGGACAGCTAACAATCTCAGAGAGATAGTAGGGAAATAGAAACATTTGTTCACTTCTTTAGAACACAAGTTTCTTCAGACTCCTACAGCAGCCTTTTAAAATGCCAAGGAAAAGCCCTTAGCTTCTCTTTGGGTTACCAAATGAAAGAATCAGATATTAATTCTCCCAGTATTCTGCCACCTGTCAGAAAACAGAGGCCCTCTTAGGCTACGTGGCAATAATTATCTACCAAATTGTGAGGATATTTAATTAAGTTTTTGACACCAAACCAGGCTATTTAGTCAACTTCTAGAAACATGTAACTCAATCAGATTATATAGTCCAATGCAGAAAATTAGGAGAAACATATCAATATATAATAATAAGTAAATATAAAGATAACTTACCTATCTCAAAACTTCCATTGATTATTCCAACTACAAATGTGGGAATATCAAATTGTCTCTCTATTTGTGTGAGCATGGAATTCATATAAACTCCAGATAGTGATTTGGATATATATGCCCATGTTAATGCCATCAAAAACATCTAGGAAGAAAAATAATTTAAAAAATGAGAACTTTGTTTTCTGATTAATTTCTAATTACATATTTGCCATCAACTGACAAAACATGAGGCAGAGGATGGTATCCAACTTAAACAGACATTGACCATGCAAGAAACTTTAAAGTGTAACCTCTACTATGTCACAGTGTCCTAACTCTGGAAAAGGAGTTAGAATAGTTTGTTAATGGTGGTGAGTTTTGTCATTAGGTATGGCTTTGTTCTTTTATCAGGCACATTATTCATATAGAAAAACATGGAGTTGTTGCCTGGAGTAAGACATGTAAGAGACAGCTATTGATGTGTCTTCATCATTATACTGTTATCTGCAGGACAAGTGTTGTCTTGTTTAAGAAAGAGAAGGAACAGAACACAGAATTACACCAAGGCATTGTTTCTGCAGAAAGGCTACAATGTTCTCTCTGAAGGGATGCAGGGTCTCTGGATGTCCTGGGACAGTTTGATACTTTGTCCTCTTTTTCAGCATTCTTGGGCACAATAAGTTACATTCTCAGCACTGGAAGCAATGACCACTGTGTTTTTATTTTCTTCCCGTGAGCTGCAAGTATATGCCTGACCCTATCTCCCCACGCTGAGATTACATTTATATATATGTTACCATGCCCAGTTTTTATGTAGGTTTTGAGGACTGAACTCAGGACCCCTGATTCCAAGGCAATTACTCCATTGATTGGGTTAGCTCTCCATTGAGAAATTTTTCTCTTATAACATATTTTTTTTATTGATTGGCTCAGCTGGTTGACAAAGATCTAGCAAAGCTGAGCCAAGTGACGCAGTTGCTGTGGTGCAGTCTCTTACTCTTTGGCCATGATCTCTATATGTCACGTGCTTAGTAGGCTTTTATTATTTGTATAACTTGGCGATATTGGATTAATGGAAATTTTCTTATGAATCATTTACCACCTCTCACAGGAGCACTGTCTTTAAGCTTCCCTGGGAATGTCTTGACCTTGCTACACCTTCTGCTTTTAGGAAGATATCCTTATCTGGCCTTAGTTGTAAGTCTTCCTTATGCCTTGGAGGTTGTGACTCAAGTAAATATCCCAGGAACCTCCTTATTGGGCTCTGACTTAAAGATACTCTTGGCACATCTGTCCCATCACTTACTAGGAAACAGTATAATCAGAACAAAGTACATATGGGCCTCTGTCATATGGCCAAGGAACAAGAAATACCAAGATTAGACATATAAATAAATTCTATAAATATAAAGTATAAACATTATATTATGGCAGGAATTAAATAACAACTGCAGCAACTTTGGCCTGAAGATTTTTCTTGGGCCAAATGAAAATTTGACTCTGACTATTAAAAGTTGATATTGCACAGTTTGGGGCATGACAACCTGCCCAGGCTGGTATGAAGATTTTCTTTCTATCTAGTGCCCTTGAAACCATAAGAGTTACCAGCCTGAGAATAAGCTGTCATGCTTTGGCAAAATATGCCCTTGAAACCGCAATATTGTTAAAAGTTGGGTTGTGGGGTTGATAAGAGAAAATGATTGTAAAATATAATTCTGTTCTGTCATGGTTTATTAACGATGACTAAACTTATGACCAAGTGGAAGTTAAAACACGTTTCCAGTGACAAAAATGATATGATCCATGTTTTGGAACAACATCCATCTCTCCCTGCCTACTAAGTTCTGTAAATAAAGAACCCAGACTGCCAGTCCCTCAGGATGTACCCCCACCCCATCCCTGTGCGTGACTCATTTCTTCCTTGATGCTCTTGCATCTACCCTTCTTCAGGCCCTGATCTCACCTGGGGATGGAATCCCACAATTGATTAAATTTATTATCTGGTGATTTTATACATGCATGGAATGTTCTGATTATTACTTTTTTTTCTCTTCTCCTTCTCTCTTCCCCGCTAGCACCCTCATTTTTAGGACTCCTTTTCCAAGGTTCATGACTTTGGGGATCTTGTTTTGTTTTGTTTTGTTTTCTATTTAGCTTAAGCAGGGATGTATGTGTAGCTAGTAAATTAGAACTAAGCAGCTGTGCCCGGGGAGGTCACAAGTGTGTGCATGGCTGAAGTCCGTGAACGCCATCATTTTCCCCATCCTGGGAGGCATTTCTTAATGATTATTATTTCTAAACTGAAGAAGCAGGAGTTTCAGTATGGTACTGTAGACCTTTTGACCACCCTAATATTCTAGGTAGTTCTAAATTCAGAGAAATCGAATTGTTTTCAAAATATTACCTCTAATTTTTTTTCTTGTAAACTCAAGGTTTTTACATTTTTCCCAAAGCAAATCGTACCAGTATCTACTGTTGTTAAACTCTCAAGTACAGTAACTGTGGGGATTTAGACAGAAATGGCCCCTATAATTTCACACATTTGAATTCTTGGCCATCAGGGAGTGACACTAATAGGAGATGTGGCCTTGTTGGATGTCATGTGTCTTTAGGGATGAACTTTGAGGTTCAGAAGCTCCATCCAGGCTCAGTGTCCCCCAATTCCTGCTGCCTACTGATCCAGATGTAGAACTCTCAGCTCCTTTTCTATCACCATGTCTGCCTGCGTGCCACTATGATACATACTTTGACAATAATAGACTAAACCTCTGAATATGTAAGCCAGCCCCAACTAAATGTTTTCTTTATAAGAGTCGCAGTGATCATGGTGTCTCTTCACAGAAATAGAAACCCTAACTGAGACAGCAAACAAAGACGAATTTTAGAAGTAGTATTTATAGATGCCTGATGACTTTTCTGTACAAATGCTATTAATCTTGGTAACTAATAATCACATTACTCATCATCATCCTAAAATTTGAAGCTGGAGATGCAGCTCACTGGTTAATAGCACTGGCTGCTCTTGTTGAGGACCTGTGCTATGTTCCCATCACTCAAATAGTGGTTCAAAACCACCTGTAATGCCAGTTCCAGGAGATCCAGCACCTTCTTCTGATCTCCAAAGACAGAAGACAATAGGCATACCAATATATATGTGGGCAAAACATCAATTTACATAAAATAAAATGTAAACTTAGAGAAATCAATACACCTTACGAGTGGAGGAGGAGGTATAGATCAGGGATAAAGGAGTTGCCTGGTGTGTATGAGCACCTGTATATCTAATTCCTCATCCCTCATTTTAGTAATAAAGAACATCCTGGAAGGGTGAGCAAATACATACATGCAGAAACAGTGACAGACAAAGGAGAGAGAGAAAGACAGAGAGACAGAAATAGAAAGACACAGAAACACACAGAAAGAAGTCTCAAAATGATTTTTTTTAATCTTAAAAAGTATGGCTACCATTATCCTTTTCAGATGAAAAACACTGAAGTATAAACAGGTTGTATAAATTGTACAAAATGACATATCCAGTAAGGATCTAGGGAGGTTTAGGAGCCAGGGGTCCTGGGTTCATCAGAAGCATGTGAGAATTGAAGGATTCTTGGGGTGTTTGAGTTCCAATAATTTGTACATCATTACAAAAGAAAGCACTTTTCAGGGGCTAAGTCTGAAGTCTTCCTTTTATGTTAATAACATTCCATTCCATGTGAATAAAAGTTAAATGAGCTTTAGATAAGATGACTTAGGCAGGGCTTAAAGAAGGACTCTGCAGAAACTAATAATTTCCTGGGTTAATATAAGTTCACCTTTAATATAAGCATGCCTTTGGAGCTATAAGAACAGCGGTTGTCTCTAAAATAATGAAAGCCAACAAAACAGCCTAAAGAGTAGACAATTTTCTTACAAAAGAATGACTGTTGTATTGCCAAAGCTTGAAGAAAATATTTGCCTGACCAGGTCTTGAAGTCATCTTTGCATATTAATCAACAGAACACTTCTGTGGGGAGAACTGTTCCCTAGCCGTGATCCCTGAGGTTCTGTCAGGAACCACTGAAGGCTGAGCACTGTACTGACCTCTGACTTCTGACTGAATTCTACCACAACATGAAATACTTCTAAATCTTTTTAAACCACATCCTCCTGTAAGATCCTCTAAATCAGTGCTTCTCTACTATTCTAACAGTTGTGACTCTTTAACACAGCTCCTCATATTGTGTTGATCCCAGACCTGAAATTATTTTTGTTGCCACTTATAACTGTTATTTTGCTACTGTTACGAATCATAATGTAAATATCTGTGTTTTCTGATGATCTTAAGTGACCCCTGTGAAAGAGACACTTGACACCCCCCAAAGGGTTATAACCCAGAGGTTAAGAACCTCTGCTCTAAATCATTTTGATAATATTTTCCTGTATGCGTAATCAAAATTAGACATCTATAATATGAAACCAACTTTTTAAAGGCAAGAAATTAAAAACATATTGGGTAAAATACTTTTTTTGTTGGAAAATTTCATGTATACTGCACAACACAAGAATCTTCAGCTCTAGTTTAAAAAGACTCTGGTGTGTATATACATGCATACATAGAAAAATCCATACCTTGATCCTGGAAAAGCATCTGACCCCATGGGTTGCAATATTCTTCTCAGGTTCTCCCATGCTGATCTTCTGATTTTTTTCCAGATGTCTATGCTTTCAACGTCCTACTGCTATCTTTTCAAGAAAACAGACAGTTGTTAATTAAATTATTTTCTGAACTGTAAGAAGTCATTCTTAAACCAGGCATGGTAACACATGACTTTGATAACAGCACTAAGAGAGGCAGAGGCAGGCCTGGTCTACAGAGCAAATTCAGGGCAGCCAAGGCTACACAGAGAAACCTTATCTCAAAAAACAACACAATAACAAAAACAAGAAAAAGGAACAGCAAAATCCAACGAATAAACAAACAAACAAACAAAAAGCCAAAACGAAAAAAAAAAAACAAACAAACCTTAAGGGCTAGGGTGTCTTACTCAGAGGTTCTATTGCTGTGATAAAATAGAAGGACCAAAAGTAAATTAAAGGGTAAAGGGCTTATTTTAGCTCAGAGTTCTATATCACAGATCATCACTGAGGGAAGTCAGGCTGGGAAAACAGGCAGGAACCTGGACACAGGAGCCAATGCAGAGGTTGTGGAGGAACACTGCTTCCTGTTTTGCTCCTCATGGCTTGCTCAGCCTGGTTTCTTATACAACCCAGGACTGCCTGCCCAGTGGTCCCACCCCCAGTGAGCGAGGCCTTCCCACATCTTAGAAAATGCACCACAGGCTAGACCATAGGTCAGTCTCCTTGGGACATCTCAGTTAAGGTTCCCTCTTCCCAAATGACTCTAGCTGATGTGAAGTTGGTATGAAACTGTGCAGCACCCCTGGGGAGGTGGCTCGGTGGGTATGACTCCTAAGCTTGAGGTCCTGACTTCCCTTCCCAGTAAGGTAGGAAAAAGCTTTCCTGCACCTGCTGTCACCCCAACACTGGGCGGACCCAGACAGCAGGATCGCTGCAGTGTGCCAACCTGGCACTGTAATTGAATGAATCACCAACAAGTTTAGTGAAGAGATCCCATCATAAAACATAAGTTGGAACATTCTACAGAAAGACATTCAGCATTGACGGCGGCTTCCATAATAAACACATGTGTACATGTGTATCTATGCATATACCCAGAACCCATAAATACATATATACTACATTATGCTACACCACTCTCCACACACACAGAACCCATAAATACATATATACTACATTATACTGCACCACCCTCCACACACACATTTCCTGAACAGGAACAATTAACCAGTACCTGAAATATTGTAAAAATACCTAGGAAGGGTGTTTGTTTGTTTGTTTGTTTGTTTGTTTGTTTTATTCTGACTGTACTTGTAAGTAACTGCATTGGAGAAGATTGGGTTTCTGTGATTTCTACTGAAAAAGTCAAAGCAAACAGCTATGCTTATTCTTTGGTGATATTAAAGATAGCCTCTGTGTTGTTAGGTTCTGACAAACGACAATGTGGTAAAAATAAAAACCTTCAGTTCTTTAGCCAAAGCAAATGAGACCCTTTGAACTCACTATAATGCATTTGCTTTTAAGAATGCAAACACCAGTGAATGTTAGATCCTTTGATTTTGATGTTGGTTGTGGTAGACTTGTGTGAAAAAAAAATCAAGTCTCTTAAGAAAGAAATAGAAGAAATCAGAAGATGGAAACATCTTCCCTGCTCATGGATAGGCAGGTTTGACATAGTAAAAATGGCCATGTTACAAATGCAATCTACAGAGGCAATGAAATTCCCATAAAATTACCAACACAATTATTTGCAGACCTTGAAAGAAAAATTCTCAACTTCATATGGAAAAACAGGAAACACAGAATAGCCAAAACAATCCTCTACAATAAAAGATCATCAGGAGGTATTTCCATCCTTGATTTCAAGCTCTACTATAAAGCAACAGTAATAAAAACTGCATGATATTGGCATAGAAACAGAATGGTAGATCAATGGAATTGAAGACCCCAAAATAAACCCACACACTTATGGACATCTTCTTTTTGACAAAGATGCCAAAACCATACAATGGAAAAAAGATAGCGTCTTCAACAAATGGTACTGGTCTAACTGGATATCTACATGTAGAAAAATGCAAATAGATCCATACTTAATCACTGCACAAAACTAAAGTTCAAGTGGATCAAAGATCTCAACATAAAACCAGACACATTACATCTGTTAGAAGAAAATGTGCAGAAGGGCCTTGAACTCATTGGCACAGGAGACTACTTCCTGAACAGAACACCAACATCACAGGCTCTAAGATCAACAATCAATAAATGGGACCTCATGAAACTAAAAAGCTTCTGTAAAGCAAAGAACACTGTCATCAGAACAAAAGGACAGCCTACAGACTGGGAAAGGATCTTTACCAACCCTATATCTGACAGAGGGCTAATATCCAGAATATATAAAGAACTTAAGAAGTTAAACAGCAACAAATCAAGTAATCCAATTAAAAAATGGGGTACAGAGCTAAGCAGAGAATTCTCTGCAGAGGATTATCGAGTAGCAGAGAAACACTTAAAGAAATGTTCAGCGTTCTTAGTCATCAGGGAAATGCAAATCAAAATGACCCTGAGATTTCACCTTACACCCATCAGAATGGCTAAGATGAATAACTCAAGTGACAACACATGCTGAAGAGGATGTGGAGAAAAGGGAGTGAACCCTCCTCCATTGCTATTGGGAATGTAAACTTTTACAACCACTTTGGAAATCAATCTGGTGCTTTCTCAGACAATTAGGAATAGTGCTTCCTCAAGATCCAGCTTATACTACTCCTAGGCAAATATCCAAAAGACGCTCAAGTATACAACAGGGACATCTGCTCAACCATGTTTGTAGCAACTTTATTTGTAATAGCCAGAATCAACTCAGATGTCACTCAATTGAGGAATGGATACAGAAATTGTGGTACATTTACACAATGGAATACTACTCAGCAATTAAAAACACAGAAATCGTGAAATTTGCAGTTAAATGGTGGGAACTAGAAAAGATCATCCTGAGTGAGGTATCCCAGAAGCAGAAAGACACACATGGTATATACTAACTTGTAAGTACATATTAGACACATAATATAGGATAATCATACTAAAGTTTGTACACCTAAAGAAGCTAAGCAAGAAGGAGGACCACGGGTAAGATGCTCAACCCTCATTCAGAAAGGCAAACAGGATGGCCATTGGAAGAACAAGAAAACAGTGAACAGGACAGGAGCCTATCACGGAAGGCCTCTGAAAGACTCTACCCGGCAGGCCATTAAAGCAGATGCTGAGACTCATAGCCAAACTGTGCATTGTGCAGAGAATCTTATGAAAGAAGGGGGAGATAGAAAGACCTGGAGGGGACTGGAGCTCCACAAGGAGAGCAACAGAACCCAAAAATCTGGACACAGGGGTCTTTTGTGAGAAATGATACTCCAACCAAGGACCATTCATGGAGATACCTAGAACCCCTGCACAGATATAGCCCATGGAAGCTCAGTCTCCAAGCGGGTTCCCAAATAAGGGGAACAGGGGCTATCTCTGACATGAACTCAGTGGCTGGCTTTTTGATCACCTCCCCCTGAAGTGGGGCCAGCCTTACTAGGCCACAGAGGAAGACAATGCAGCCAGTCTTGATGAGACCTGATAGGCTAGGGTCAGATGGAAGGGGATGAGGAACTTCCCTATCTGTGGATTTGGGGAGGGGCATGGGAGGAAAAGAGGGAGGGAGGGCAGGATTGGGAGGGGGCAAGGGAGGAGGCTACAGCTGTAGTACAATGTGAAACAAATGTTTTAAATAAAAATACATTAAAATTTTTTGAAAGAACAAAACAAAAACAAAAAAGAATGCAAACACCTTGGTGTTTACTGTCTTAGTAGTGAGACTATGGATTTCACAGTGACTGTAGCCTACTCTCAGTTCTTAGATAGCTGCACACCTGGTCAGGTGACCCTCTCACAAACCCTCCCAGTTAAGGCAATCTATTTATTTCAACGACATAGAAACAGCTCCCATTAAAGACTGAGCATGCTGAGAGCATCCCTCCCATCACACTGCAGTATAATGTAGGCTAATTAATAGAATTCCCTCCTATCACATTTTCCATTTGTTTCTGGTTTTTCAAAAGTCACAAAAGGCTGCAATCCAGTTAAGACAGTGAGGCTTTGTGGCATCATGAGTACCAAGAAAATTTGTTCAACTTCGAGTCCATGGAAACCCCGAGACAAATGCATGTTGTATTAAGCCATTAATGTGATTTGATAAATAAACAACAAAAAAGAATGCAAAGATATCCATTGTGTTTGTACTAAACCTCTGCCTCACTGAGCCAACAAAGTCTGTTTGACCAGGCTTCCTTCCTGAGTACTTTGTGTTCCAGGACTCCCCTGGAGATCAAGAAGAGAAACACTTTCTGGTGCACTGTTGATTCACAGAAACCTGGGGAGACACAGGATTTTAATCACGAAAACAACTTAAGTAAAAACAATGAATAAGTATAACATCTGGGGTCGAATCAAAACAATTCCAGTTTTTAAAATGTAGGGTTTAGGAGAAGATGAGACACCTAAGCAGAGATGTCGCTGTGATTACTTCTGACCTACGTGTTGTGTATGGGGTGAACGTGTCCTCTGTAAGGGGCATTGTGGTCACAAGTATCTATGTGCAATGCATAAAGGCGGCTTGACCCCTGTTCAGCTGTGCTGGCCTCATCTAACTATCTATTTTGTGTCTTGAAAGTAGAATGTTTTTCATCACTATAAATATATTTTAATTTTGGATTTATTCTACAAAACTCATCTATTTTATTTCTCAGCAGTATCCACAGCACTAATGTATGAAAATGCTCTCAAAAATGTCTATTCACAAAAATAATACACAATGGCTCGAAGTTTATAAAACATTTAAAATGTTTAACAAAGTTCCCAATTTCAGTCACTACTGAGTGACTACCCTAACCCTATGATCCTATGGTTCTCTTCATTTCCTTACAGTTACAGCAAATACTTATTGAACACCTGGTATGTGCCAGTCACTTCATGAAGCTCAAGATTCAACCAAGAAGCCAGACATGCTGTTCTATAGAAAATTAAAGTTGGTTAGGACACCTCAGCCACCAGAGAAAGCTGATTGGATCCACATACCTAGGAACCTGTGCTTTTCTTGGGAAAATGACATTTCTTAAAAATAATAAATAAATAAATGTACACTGGGATAGAATGGGGCCACGTAGGCTGAGGTACAAATTATTTATTATCGAAATAGGGAAGAAATTTCATAGGATATGGGTGAAAATTACAGGGACTGTCTTGGCAATTCTGATTAGATATAAGAATGAAACACCCAGAATCAAGGCTTCCACATAAAGCTTCAAGTCCACTTAACTTCCTGAGAGGACCTGATACTGATTTTGCAAAGAATGGTAGAAGGAGTTGATTTCCAGTAAAGAGAAAACTTATTCAAACATATACCAACTACAGATGAAACATCAAATTCTCAACTCTCCTCACTTGCTCCTCTTTTGCTCACCCAGAGTGCCATCTCTCATCATCAGCCTTTCTTTCGTCCTTTCCTCCTTGCCCAGGCCTGAGCCCAGGTTGGTCATTCTACCCATCAATAAGAAAGAACTTAGCTTCTCTCCCATGTCAAAGCTATCTTTGAATTCTTTAGTGGCTTAGAATAATATTCTAAATATCTATTTTTTCATTTCTTAACTGTGAATAACTGGAGTTAGTCCCCAGAAGTTCACTGGATAGTTTTCCCCTTGAGTACTAGGTAACCATCTGGGTAGGTTTTATCACCATCTTGTGGATTCCTTTCAAAATGCATTTTCTGTGTCAGAGAAGTTTCACAACCAAGTCTTGATTCTAAATAAAGTGTACACAGCCAGGCCCTTGAAAAGATATTCAATGGCAATAAATTAACAGCCATCTTTCTCTAATGTGCTAACTTTTCTGTGAAACATATTATATCTTTTCAGATCCATAGAGGAAACATGTGTTTCCTTGATTCAGTAAAACGTGTATAATCCAATACTGAATCATGTCATGCTCTCCTGTTGAGCACTTTGAACCTAATTGAGAAATTTCCACAGAGTGACAGCCACATGCACAGGGCCCCTTTGTTAGCACAGGATTTTGTTTAAGCAGTCACTTCTGCTCCCAGGATTACACAGTGTTCGGACAAATCCATATCAATCAGCAATGGTCACGAAAACGGCACATTGCACTTTTATAAAGCAGAAGGCAAAGCAATGTCTCTCCCTTTACAGGAAGAGTAGACATTACTGCAGTATCACCTACTAGAAGGCACTAGTACCACAGGAGGAGTAGGTGGCAGTACATTACACCCAGCCCGAGGCCAAACCAGCCCCGGCTATGAACCATTTTGCACTGTTTTATTTTAAAGATGTATGATGGGACATCTGCTCTCTCAAACATTTTGAGAATACAGTGCACAACTGCTCAGCAGGTAGGTGAGCATACTACAAAGCAGATCTCTAGAACAGCAACGACCTTGCAGTACTGACACTCTACACACTGAGCAGCAATCCGTGGGGAGGGGGTCACTCTTTGCATCTCAATCACAGGAAAATACAACCCTGTACACAGTGAATAAACACGCTCTCTCACACGCAGTATCCACAATTTGTGATTATCAGAAAATGCATGCTGTTCATTTCACCTGCCAGCACTACTGAATTAATAAAACAAAGGCTTTGCTTTACCTTGGCCAAGTAAGAAGTACATACATGAAGAAGCCTTAGGTCCTCTCTCTGGTGACGGAAAAGAAAATCACAGTAGCAAAAGTCTTATGAAAAGCACCTATTTTCAGAATTCTCAAGTTGCCTCTAACTATGTTACAGCCTCTTGGGTGTGTTCCAGCTGAAATCCTTTCAACCAATACCAAACCACGAAGGACGTGCCAAGAAAGGACTTGGAGAATCAACAATGACTTGTTTGATTCCTAACAAATTATTTTACTTTGGTCAGCTCCTTCTAATCAGAAATCAAAGGAGAAAATGCTGAATCCAATCTGTTAAATAGATTTTTCTGTAAAATAGATACACTTTTATTTTCTACATTCAAGATATGTGGAATGTGCCCCTCTGGGAAAACTTAACCAGATATTAAGAACGTTACTCATCTGTTTGTTTTTACCAGGCAGAACAAGACTTGAACATTGACAGACCAGCAATCTAGGCAGTCCGTGGTGGCTTTGAGTGAGTTCTAAGCCTATACTGAGAAGCCAAACAAGAAAACCAAAACATGATTTCTGCTTGTAACAGAAGCAGCTGTGAATGGCAACAGTGTCACTTCTAGTACCAAACATATCTAGAGAATGAAGAGATGATTGCAGAAGCCGTTTTCCATACTCTAGACACTTGCTTTGCACTGAGTCTTACCAGGCAGCTTTAAGCTCTTTAATACACAGACCTCTTGAAAACCTGCACTTTATGGTTAAAGCAAGAATCAGGCTAAGCCAGTTTGAAGAGTGTTCACTCCTGATACCCAGATGCAACAGTGTTTGGGTTGTTTCTGCATGTCCTCATTTCCAGGTGATATCTACTCCTGTTTCCCCCAGCAAGAGTGGGCAGGCTGCTTAGCACTGCAGCAACTAGCATGCTGTCCCCTCGTGATGGCATCTCCCTACCCTCCTTGTCTATAAGTCCCTACTGATCTCCACTGCGTCCTGAACCGCAGCCAGGTCTAGACTGAAGCGCCATTGCTGCAGCTCCAGAAAAAAGATTACTTTACTCCGGTTATTGTCCAGTACTGGTTTTGCTCTGATAGCCATACCATGAGGATTATCATTTCTTCAGTCTTTTTTCCCTCCTTTTTTTTTCTGAACAAGTGCAATTTGAGGAACAAAAAAATGGGTATCTCTACTTAATCTTATGGAAGGAAATATTTAAACTTCTTTTCCCATAGAAGAGTTTCTTTCTTTCCAGTGTTCCCCACATATCTGCTAATCCAACGACATCCCAGGATCTTCCTTGAATCCATTTATCGGTACATTTTCTCATTCATTTACATAGTAAAAGGGAGGAGACAGCTGGAGGTAGTGTCTGGTGTGCAGCAATATTCTGACTCATCCCAGATGAGCTGGCTTGCTTCTATGGGCTTTAAGCCTGTTTGTATCTGAAATATGGGAATTTCTATGTCTACCTTGCAAGACTGCTATGGAAACTGAATAGAAAACGGCCATCAGCGCCCTCCTGTGGACTGGAAAGAAGCGGTCACTTTGTCAATGGCAGTGACTATTATTCAGACATCTGTAAATATTTACTAAATTCCATGCACAGTAGTAGGTGTTAGGGATCCAAAGATGAATAGCATGAACTTTCTTTCAAGAGGTTTCAGAAGCTTTTGAGAGAGGCAGATCATTAAGTCATAATAGGTAGCTATTGCCACAGTGCAGTAAGTTTCTAGAAGGGAAAAGATTAATGAAAACCATTCTCATGCTTGTCATTTGGGTGCAGTATAATAGTTTAACCACCCATGACTTAAGTACAAGTTTGAAGATCTGTTTGCAAACTGTCTGCGTGCTCTGAGACAGGCCACTCTGTTTCCTTTTCTATAATGAAAACATCATTTCTCTTTCTTAAAGTGTAGGGATGAAAATAGAATTCATGACAGGTAGCAGAAGAGCTGAGATGCACAGGCCAACTCCTCAGGGACATAGGCTACCTTGGGAAGCTAGGAAGGTCCTGGCATTTCCCCCCAACCTCTGTCTTCCCCAACATCAAGCAAATATTTCTGAGTAACACAACTTAACAGAGTCTGATGATGAGGGAACCTGAGATCCTTAGTTTGCAGATGCCTGTCTCTAGGATACAGTGCAGATAAAAGCACAGCTCACAATGGATGTGAGACCAGATGAACACTGACCAAGACAACCATAATCCTCACTAAGATTTAAGTACGCTTAATTCATGTTATAAGATGGACACACAAGCAACATTTCACCAATGCTGCTGTACAATAGTCCTAAGTCCACGGTGCTGCTCTGACTTGGGTCAGGAGATAGCTCCTTGTATACTTCAGGAGCCCTCACATATCTTAGTGACACTAAGCACACGGGTTTGTCATCAAGCCAATTGGTTTCTTTACTGACTTGAATGTGTAAACTCACCCCTTCTGCAGGACTGCTAAAACAGCCTTAGTCACTATATCTTCACAGAGCATAGGCTGTCGACAGGAAAAGACCAGCTGTTTGGGGGCTTACTGGCAGGAAATCCGCTTGCCACTACTTTCTGAAAATCCAGCTTATTTCCTGCTCAATATTTTGGACTCCATATATGATGTATGCTTTTTAGTTGAGTGACTAACACGCAAGAAAAGTCCAAAAGAGTATTTGCTCCTGAAGAACTGCTGCTACATTGAAAAGACACAGCTCTGATCTCATTTAGATAACACATTATTTTGATAAAACTGGATTCCATGGGAGATTGCAGATAATAAATAATAAATATCAACCTCGCATACGCTTCACATATTTTAAGCATTATTCTGAAGATTGTTGTCACAGCAGTGCATTCAATTCTCATAAAGTCCTGTGGCTTGAGTACTGTCACCCAACTTGAAAGATACCGGATTTAAAGCACAGAGGGGTCGAATCACTGTCTAAGGTCATAGGTCATAAGTGGCAAAGCCAATAGTTAGCTGTGCAGATTCTTACCAACTGTAGCAATCTGGCCCTTCTCGAGTGCATATGTCCAAGAGGTAAGACAGTGAGTTTCTGAGTGTGTTTACAGTCAAATTAGTTTTAATTCTCCTTTGGTAATTACTATGCTATTTCCTGTAAGTATTGTTATAGATTTTATTTCAGTTAAATATGATAGAGGAGTTAGAGACCTTCTATTTAAGAGCTTTTGCTCCTCGGCCAGAAGACTGTGCATTGGACCCTAGCACCATCAATAGCGCTCAAACAGCTGGAATTTCAGCAAGGGATGCCAGTACCCTGCTTCTGGCGTCCATGGGCGCCTGCACACAAGTGCACAGACACGCACACAAAATAAATCTTCTTAAAAACCTGATGAAGCAAGCACACGCCTAGAATACCAGCTTTAGCGTTATAGAGGGAGAGGTGGGAGGATGATTATACGTTCAAAGCAACCCTGGTCTTACTGGTGGACTTCATGTGAATCAAGATACAGAGGGTGAGCCTAACTCAAAAAGAAAACAAAAACAAAACAGTAAAAACATTTAAAACAGTTGAAAAATGAATGGGTGTTTGTGGGGCTAGGGGCTTGCAACTGGAAGAGCTGACCAGGAGGAGGAGTGAGGTCGAGGATTGTCCAAACCCAAAAGTCTTGTTTTGAGACTGGCAGGGGTAGGATGACTCCATTCCTGCCCTGGGCCTGCAGTAGCCTTACAACCCCCAACTCTGCCGCCCTTGAGGCAGTCGGGCACTTGATGGCCTCTCTCCTTAAAAGTTCGTGTCCAGCAAGCACCTGGAATTCCTCTTCATGCAAACAAGGCATTCCCAGCATCTTAGCCCCAGCCAATTATGTAGTGTATACTTACCCTGAAAGCCTCTACCCATTCTCCAGAAGTTTAAATAGCTTTTGTTCTCTCCCCACAATTAAATAAGCTGGCTCATTGAAGCCTGACTCCTGGCAAGTGTTTCTCCTGTACTCACTGCTGCCTGAGTTCTACATTTCCTGGATGTTCCTGCCTTACTTCCTCTCACAGAGTCCACTAGTTGTTGATCATGATGGCAATTGTGGGTGGGGAAGCAGGGTCAGGAATGGCAGGTGTTCCTGGAATTAACTCTTTAATATTAACTGGAATACTATGCACATCTGAGCCAGACAATGTCAAATCTTAATACTTTTTGTTAATTGTTATCTAAATATTTATTTTGCTCAAGGCTTCTGTGTGTGTGTGTATGTTTGCATGTAGACATGCACGCATCCAAATGCACACACATACTCATTTATACATGTACACATGTGGAGGTCAGAGGGTAACCTCAGGTATTGGTCCTCATCTTCCACGTGTTTCAAATAGGGTCTCTTTGTTGCTTCATACCCAGGATAGCTATCCCTAACCCTAAGCCTAACCCTAACCCTAACCCTAACCCTAACCCTCAGAATTCTCCTATCTCCATTTCCCATCTCTCTATGGGAGTGCTAAGATTTCAGACACATCCAGCTATACTTGGGTTCTGGGGATTTGAACTCAGATCTTTACGCTTTCACAGCAAGCATTCTGCCAACTAAGCAATTGCCCTAGCCTCTTACTTTAGAGTTTTTGGAGGCATAGATTCATGTGCTATATTGAAAAACACATCATCAGAGCTGCCTTTACTCTAAGAAATAATGTCTCTGTTGCTAGAACACAATTACCAAATGGTAGCCACCCTCCAGAATTCTGCTGTGGCTATCAGAGGGAACAACCTTTTTTTAAATAGCACAGTTTTGAAATTCTTTAATACATTATTAACTTTGGGACATTTCTACTCGTATTTTGCTGGTGATGACTTTTTATGATGTTAACATAATAAATTGGTATTTGGTAGTTCTAATCCATCTGATTTAATATGATTTATGCATTTCATATTATGAAAGCATAATATGATTGTGAATACTGTTGGTTACTTTTGTTGTTCTGGAGTCTTTCCCCATATTAAAAGGCATTCATTTAGCTGAAGCAATAGTCTTATCTCAGTGAATAATTGCCAAATATCTGAAGTACAAAATCTGAATTCTGAGTTCCTTTGGAAGCCATCCCCAAACCAGAATCCACATGCTCCTGCCTTGAATTACCTCAGACGCACAAAGTTGAAAGTAAAAAATTAATCAGTGAACTCAGTGTACTCGACTTTTTTGGAGTTGTAAACGTTACAAAGTTCTTATAGGTCAAAAGGATTTGATAGCATTGGTTTAATCATTCTTCTTTAGTAATAATGGAGACATCGATGCTACAGTAGTCCATGCACACAGAGGCCTGCTGTAGCACCCTACCATGCACATTAAAAATTAAAATTACCCCCAGGCTTGGTGGCACATGCTTTTAATCCCAGCACTCTGGAGGCAGAGGCTGGTGGATCTCTATGTTCTTGAAGCCAGGTGGCTCTACAAAGTGCATCCAGGACATCCAGGGCTACTAAAACAAACAAACAAACAAACAAACAAACAAAACGTAGTCACAAATAAATTGAAACAATAAACAAACAAACAATAAAACAAGGAAAACAAAAAACAACAACAAAACCTACCCCTGAAAACAACAACAGCAACACAAACATAAACAAAACAAAACAACCCTAAAATTCCCATTGCTTTTAGCTGGTGCATATTTTCACTGTCTAGCTGCTTGCTCTCCTCTTCCCCTATTTACTTATGATGCTACCACAGATAGCTTTTTCAACACAAGAATTTATATAAAGAGTTCTTTTTAAGAGGTTTTTTTAGGCACAATTGTTTTGTTGTGATCTTTTGTTTTGATATAACCAAAACACTGATCATTAAAATCTAGTATACATTATTTATATTCCAATTATGATCATTTTCCTAGTAATTTTCTTTATGGGTGTTTGGAAAAAAATTTTACACTAACTTATTTGTGGTGTTTTTGTTCATGTGTATGTGTGTGTTGTATATATTTTATGACATGCATGTGTATGTCTGAAGACAACTTGCAGGAGACAGTTTTCTCCTTCTATCATGTGGATTCTAGGGATTTGATTCAAGTTCTCACACTTGGGAGCAAGCGACTTTTAATCACTGAGTCATCTTACAAGCCCTTTCATAGGTTTTTTTTTTTTTGAATTTTATTTTTTTCTTATCAGTTACATTTTTTTGTTAGCATTTTTAAAAATTTTTTATTAATTACACTTTATTATTCATTTTGTATCCCCCCATAAGCCCCTCCCTCCTCCCCTCCCGATCCCACCTTCCCTCCCCTTTCTGCATGCATGCCACTCCCCAAGTCCACTGATAGGGGAGGTTCTCCTCTCCTTTCTGATCTTAGTCTATTAGTTCTCATCAAAAGTGGCTGCATTGTCCTCTACTGTGGCCTGGTAAGGCTGCTCCCCCCTCAGAGGGAGGTGATCAATGAGCAGGCCAATCAGATTATGTCAGAGGCAGTCCCTCTTCCCATTACTAGGTAACCCACTTGGACACTGAACTGCCATGGGCTACATCTGTGCAGGGGTTCTAGCTTATCTCCACGAATAGTCCTTGGTTGGAGTATGAGTCTCTGGGAAGTTCCCTGTGTTCAAATTATCTTGTTCTGTTGCTCTCCTTTTATAGGGTTTTTAATATTGTCCTAATACCACTCCACTCTTGACATTGTGTTTAGGTGATTATTTTGTAGTTTCTTTTGAATAATAAGCAATGTCTCAGCCTTACCTAGAGAAGAGGATTCTTGACCATTTAAAGAGAATATCATGAGCTGGAGGGATGATCCATTGGTTAAGAACACTTGCTACTTTTCTCAGAGTACATATCAGGTAGTTCAGAACCACCTCTAATTCCAGCTCCAGAGGAACCAACAGTCTTTTCTGGCTTTTTTTGGCACTGACACACATGTGACAGACACACATGCATACCTATGTAATTTTTTAATTAAAATTTTCTAAGACTGATAGTTTCTCAAAATACCTGTCAATATAAATCTGCCTAAAGTTCTTTTATGAAAGCTTCTATTTACACAGCTTGAGTGAAAAAAAATACTATGATAAATATATAATGCCTTCCCAAAGTGCTCAGACACATGATGTCCCTTTGTCCCAGAACTAGAAAGGTGAGCTTGGGTTACATGGTCCACGTGTTTCTTTCAATCATGTAAGTACCAAGATATTAATTCTCCATTTGTTTCTCAATTCATTTGTTTTAACATCCAGAGTCTCTGGGAAGACCCCTGTGTTCAAATTTTCTGGTTCTGTTGCTCTTCTTGTGGGGTTCCTGTCCTCTCCAGATCTTACTATTTCCCACTTCTTTTTTTTTTTTAATTTTATTTTTCTTTTTAGTTACATTTTGTTAACTCTGTGTCCCAGCTCTATCCCGCTCCCTCATTCCCTCCCCAACCTCACACTCCCTCCCTGGTCTCCTCTCTGCCCCTTTCCAAGTCCACTGATAGGGGAGGACCTCCTCCCCTTTCATTTGACCCTGTTTCATCAGGTATCTTCAGGGCTGGCTTCAAAGTCCTCCTCTGTGTCCTAACAGGACTGCTCCTCCCCTGGGGGGCTGGGGAGGTCAAAGAGCCTGCCCTTGAAATCCTGTTAGAAATAGTCCTTGTTCCCCTTACTTTGGAAAACTACTTGGTTACTGAGCTACCACCGGCCACATCCGAGCAGAAGTTCTACGTTATATCCATAGATGGTCCTTGGTTGAGTGTCAGTCTCAGAAAAGACCCTGTACCCAGATATATTTGGTCCTTGTAGAGCTCCTATCCTTTCCATATCATACTAACTCCCCTTCTTTCATATGATTCCCTGCACTCTGCCGAGGGTTTGGTTATGAGTCTTAGTGTCTGCTTTGAAACACTGCTAGGTAGAGTCTTTCAGATGCCTTTTGTGGTAGCCTCCGGGATCTAGAAAAGATCATTCTGAGTGAAGTATCCCAGAAGGAGAAAGACAAACATGGTATATACTTGCTTATATAGACCTACAAGATATGATAAACATAATGAAATCTACACACCTAAAGAAGATAATCAAGAAAGTGGACACAGGCGAAGATGATCAATCCTTATTTAGAAAGACAAATGGGATGTGCATTGAACGTATTTCCCACTTCTTACATAAGATTCCATGCACTCTGCCCAACAGTTGGCCGTAAGTCTCAGCGTCTGCTTTGATAGTCTGCAGGGCAGAGCCTTTCAGAGGCCCTCTGCGGCAGATTTCTAGGTTGTTTCCTGTTTTCTTCTTCTGATGTACATCCTCTTTGCTTTTTGGGATGTGGATTGATTATTTATTTTGATTTTTAACTTAGGTCTCTAATCATTTATAGAAGTTTGCCAAAGTATTTGATTTTTTATTTTCTCTCGAAATTTTTGTTTTATCCATTGAAGCTGTTCTGTCTTTGATTACATCCAGAGCAGTGCTGTTTTTAACAACAGGCATTAAATTCTTTAATTACTCTATGGATGAGTTTCTCCTGACAGGGAACAATTGAATGGAATTTAATGTCAGGGCCTGCAGGAGGTCCCCTCTGATGGTAAAGGGTTACCTTGTTGATCTGCATTCAGTAGCCCAGTGATGGCCTTTGCCACACCTTCTGCGTACTCCAGAAAGCTGGGGCCTTCTTTTGGATTCTCTCCAGAAAACTCATTGTTTCTAGGAAAGCCTTGCCCAGGATCTATTTCCAAATGGCCTTGCTTACCATAGTTAAACATCTGCCATTTGATTTTTCCTAATGTTTTTAGAAATTATAGACCTAAGGCTTGTCTAAATTCCTCTGTATCTGAGTATTTTTCTTTCTTTTTTCCCTTGGCATTTCAGTCTTTTTTTAAATTGGTATTTATATTATTATTTTAAAATTCTTTATTAATTACACTTTATTCACTTTGTATCCCCCCCTGTGGTTCCCTCCCTTCTCCTGTCCCAGTCCCAATCCCTCCCTTCCTCCACCCTCTGCATGCATGCCCCTCCCCAAGTCCACTGATAGGAGAGGTCTTCTTTTCCTTCCTTCTGATCTTAGTCAATTAGGTCTCATATTAAGCACATAAAACTGCACTACTTAATATATTTCTCCATGAACTTTTTGTGAAATTCAGAACGCAGTGTATCATTTACAAATCTTTTGTCTTTCTTCTGATCATCTATACCTTTTGCACAGTTCTTAAAAATGACGTCATTGTCCCACCTTCTTTTAACCTTGAAGTTGGCCTGAGGTAGGGATGGGCCAGTGAAATTAAGGAGAGGGTTTCCACTCAGAATGTTTTCCATGCGAATTCTCTCTTCCTCTGCTTTTTGTTCTTGTTCCTTCCTGGCCTGCTCTTCAGCTCTTTCCTTCTTGATTTTTTCCAGCTCTGCAGGAAGAGCCGCAGTATCATCATCATCACTCTCCTCTTCAAAATCCTCATCTTCCTCATCCATGGGAGGATCATCGGCATCAAGAATGGCATCAGGAATCTGGTCTAAGCGGGGCTTCTTTGACACTGAAGAGGAAGTTGTATGTTCTCGGGTTGGATGGTCCCTATTTTATTCCCTTGCAGCAGCTCTCTCTCCTGAATTCATGGTTTCGAACCTCTTCCAGGACATCCTGTGTAGTTTGTCTGTATTTTATCTTTGTATGAGAGGGAAGATCTATGCTTGAATACTGCTTTGAGAGCTGGCTCAAATCCCCTTCTCCATTTCCTCTTCCACCTCTTATAGGTTCAAAAGTTGGTCTCCCTGCTGTTGTCATCTTTTATTTTTCTGGGGGTCCGACACAGCACCTTCGGAAGCTCACTCACGAACCATTGAGACCCTTAGCTCCCAGCAACCTTGGACATTCTAACAGGGAACTTGGAATAGTTTCTCAATCCTCTGATCTGGCGTCCAACACAGGTTCCCTGAGCTGAGACCCCTCCCTGAGTCTTATTATATAGTCTTTTCTTGTTCTAGTTTATAAGTCTAATTTTTCTTCTAAGGCTTATATCTTATCAATCCACCTTTTCTTTGAGTGAGTACAGAGAGCCATTATGGCTATTGAGAATAAAGGATAAAATACCAAAATGAAAATAATCATAATTGGTATTGGGACAATTTCAGCTAAGCCATTTCAATTTTAATTTTCTGCTTCTTTTCTCAAGCCATCTAGAGTAGCACTATACAGGGTTCTAAAGCCTTCTATTATGGTGCTTCCCATCCTTAACTCTCTCCTTGAGTACTTCCCAGATGACTTTCTAAATCTGATGGTTTTTCAGTTGGTTCACAGCTGGAGTGATCTCTCTCTGTGGAGTCATGCCCCACATTGGCACCCAAACGTCATAACGAAAGAAAATCCCAACCATTTGATTTTACCAATGGAGACTCAGGAGCCAGATTCTATGGTGAAAACCTACTAGCTCAGAGGCAGAGAAAGCACCCAGCTGACCTTCCTTCAGTTCATGCTCTGAAGGAAAAAGCCAAAACCCCAAAGCTTAAAAGGCTGAAAGCTAAAAGCCCCAAAAGCCAAAAGCTTCCTAGCTCAGCTGACAGTCTAGGAGGAAAAGGCTTGCTAGCTCACCTGACAGCTCAAGAGGAGAAAGTCAAAAGCTAAAAGCCAAAGAGCGCCTTCTCCATGCTGTCTTAAATACTTTCTTCTCAAAGTCCCTCCTTTCTACTTAATCCCTATCAGCTGGTTTCTTGTTCTGCCTATTGACCTAGGGTTAACTTTATTAAATCCTGTGTATAGAATACTCTAGGATTAAAGGTGTGTGTCAGTACTGAGCCACACAATAATCACCTGTTTACAATAAACAGAAAGTTCTTGGCTTAAAGGTATGTGTTGAGGCTGAACCACACCAAACAAAGAAACAGGTTTTTTTACAGTTCACAAACTCAGGGTTCACAATGGGATCAAATACCCTGCAACACAACACAGTGTACATATCAGTACCACAAACACAATAAATAGAATTAAGTTTTAAAAGAATCACATAGCAGAGTGAATGGAATTTTATGTAAGAAGTGGGGAATAGTAATTGCTGGAGGGGACAGGAACTCCACGAGCAGAGCAACAGAACAAGATAATTTGAACACAGGGAACTTCCCAGAGACAGACTCATACTCCAACCAAGGACTATTCGTGGAGATAACCTAGAACTCCTGCACAGATGTAGCCCATGGCAGTTCAGTGTCCAAGTGGGTTACCTAGTAATGGGAAGAGGGACTGCCTCTGACATAATCTGATTGGCCTGCTCATTGATCACCTCCCTCTGAGGGGGGAGCAGCCTTACCAGGCCACAGTAGAGGACAATGCAGCCACTTTTGATGAGAACTGATAGACTAAGATCAGAAAGGAGAGGAGAACCTCCCCTATCAGTGGACTTGGGGAGTGGCATGCATGCAGAAAGGGGAGGGAAGGTGGGATTGGGAGGGGAGGAGGGAGGGGCTTATGGGGGGATAAAATAAAAAAATGAATAAACTGTAATTAATAAAAATTAATTAATTAAAAAAAGATTTGAAAAAAAAAGAATCACATAGCACACTACAAAGTATACCCTCAATTAGTTAAGTTATAAAAAGTTTAAAACAATTTTAAGATATTAATTATACAGAAAACAATAAAATAACAAAAAAGCTAAGGCATTAGCCAGCATAATTTATGTCTTTTGCTTGGTCCTCATGGAACGTGGCTCTTACTTTGTTTTACCTACATATCTTTCTCCATGACTGACACTGATCTGCAAAAAATAATAAATAAAATAATAACAATAATAATAATCCTTTTTTGCTTACAAAAAGAATATTTGCTATTTATTAACAAATTAGGGTAACTTTTTAACTCTTAATTTTTTATTTCAAGATTTGGCTTTTAGCCAAGTGCAGTGGAACACACCTGTAGTCCCAGCACTCATTGGGGCAGATGCAGATGGCTCTCTGTGAGTTCAAGGTCAGCCTGGTCTACAAAAGTGAGTCCAGGACAGCCAAGGCTACACAGAGAAACCCTGTCTTAAAAAAACAACAAACTAACAAACAAACAAAACAAAACAACAACAACAAAAAAGATTTGGCTTTTCTCTAAAATATTTGACTGAAATCCAAAATGGTAATAGATTAATTTTGCTTGCATCTACCAATACATTTATGACTGTTCAGGTTTATTAAGGTAAAACTGAATTTCCAAAAGAATTCTTGCCACATTTTTTCTTTAATTATTAGCCAAGGACTGCAATTATCTGTGTCTGTGATTGCATTGAGGTTTGTTCCTTTTGCCTCCTTTGAGCACTTTGTCCTCCGGCTGCTTGCTTTTGTGTTCACTTGACTACAGCACAGGGGAAATTTTTAACTTTTTGGCTTGATATTGTTTTGTTTGGTTTTTGTCATGTTTTTCTATTTCATTTGGCCAGAACTTCTATATTGGGTTCAATAAAATCTCTCCTATTTAGTAGAAACATGGAGACTCTTACATTCTCTCCCAGATATTAAACACCCTCTCTAGGAACACATAGGTATAGTTTGTTGTTTACCTCCTTCACCAACGAGTAAAATATGCTATACATATACAGCTCTTTGTATGTTTGCATGCATAAGCCTTGTCTAAGAAGAGACAGTGTGTGAACTATGTCAGAGAAAGGAAAGGGGGAGGCTTAAGAGTTGGATCAGTGGTTAAGAGTATAGCTGTCCTTGAGGAGGACACATGATCAGTTCCCAGGATGACAGCTTATAACCACATATAACTTCAGTTCTAGTTCAGTTCTAACACCCCCTTCTGATCTCTAAGATCACTATACTCACATATCACACAGATTTACATGCATATAGAACACCCACATATATACATATAAAATATTATATATTATATGTTTACACAAGCAGAACAATCACATACACACATATGTATATTATCCATTTAGTAGAAACTTGGAGACTCTTACATCCTCCGCCAGCTATTAAATAACCCTGGTTATTAAACACCATATTTCTACTAAATAGACATTAAAATAAATAATTTTACCATATATAATATGTATTTATATATAATACAGTACAGTATACTATATTTTATATATAATAAAATTATTAGATATCATTAAAATACATTTTTTTCTATTATATTTGATCACATCTTCAGCCCACTTCTCCATCTACTTCATCCTTCTGCCTCCTCCATCCCATCCACTCCTCCTCTGCTTTTTTTTTTTTTTCCAGAAAAGAGCAGGCCTCTCAGGGATGTCAAACACACATGGCATACCAACTTGCAGTAAGATTAGGTACCTCCCCCATTTTAAAGTGGGACAAAGCAACCCAGCAGAAGGACAAGAGTCCCCAAAGCAGGTAAAAGCCCTCTCCTTTGTTCCGAGTTCTACAAAAATGAGTTATATAAATATAGCATATATACAGAGGGCCTAGGTTAGATCCATGAAGGCTCCTGATTGTCAGTTCAGTCCCAGTGACCTCCTATGAGTTCAGGTTTGTTGATTGAGTGTGTTTTCTTGCGGTGTCCTTGACTACTCTGGCTTCTACAATCCTTCCTCAACCTCTGCAGTAGGATCCCCAAACTCCATGTAATGTTTGGCTGTTTGGCTGTGGGTCTCTGCTTTGGTTTCCATCAGTTGTTGTATGAAGCCTCTCTGATGAAAATTGAATTAGGCACCAATCTATGAATGTAGCAGAATATCATAAGGCATCATTTCATGGACTATTTTTTTCTTTCCTATTTATTTTATTTTATTTTATTTTATTTTATTTTATTTTATTTTATTTTATTTTATTTTATTTTATTTTATTTTATTTTATTTTATTTTATTTTATTTTATTTTATTTTGCCAGTTATGGTTGGTTCTTTCCTAGGTCTCTGGACATCTAGCCTCTGGTTTCGAGTACTCCAGGCAGTGTGAGGGATGGGCTCCCTCTTGTGGCACGGGTCTCAAGCTGGATTAAGTCATTGGTTAACCACCTTTCCCAATTTCTGTGCCACCTTTATCCCAGAACATCATGCTGACAGGACAAATCATAGGTCAAAGGTTTTGTGACTGCGTTGGTGTCTCAGACCCTTCACTGATCATCTTGCCTGGTTTTGGAGAGGGCCAGCTCCAGCGCTGTATCCTCCATTAGCAGGAGTCCTAGCTAGGTTCACAGTAATAGATTCTTGAGGGTTTCCATTGCGTTAAGTTTCTGACTTTCCCCTGAATTGTTTCCCCAGTTTTGGTTATCATTCCCAGTACCTTATCCTTCCATCGTGTCCCTACCAGATCCCCTTTGTTCCTGCCTCCTGCTGCCCCCAAGTCCACCAGCAATATCTGTCCTACTTTCCCTTCCCAGAGCGATCTGTGCATCCCTCCTTGAGCTGCCCTTGATACTTAGTCTCTCCTGGTCTATGGATTTTAGAATGGTTATCGTTTACTTTTCAGGTAATAACCACTTGTAGGTGAGTACACATCATGTTTGTCTTTCAGGGTTATCTCACTAAGAATGGGTTTATTTTTTATTTTTTTAATAGTTCTACTCATTTGCCTGAAAATTTCATGATGTCATTGTTTTTAGTAGCTAAGTAATACTCCATTGTGTAAATGCACCACAGTTTCTTTATTCTTTCATTGATGGACATCTAAGTTGTTTCCAGTTTCTGGATATTATGAATAAACATGTCCTTGTAGTATGGTGAAGCATTCTTTGGGTATATGCCCAGGAGTGGTATAGCTGGGTCTTGAAGTAGATCAATTATCAGTTTTCTGAGAAACCACCATATTGATTTCCAAAATTGCTGTACAAGGTTGC